TACCTCTTCCTGGCACCTTTTCCTCAACTAACCCTGATTTGAAGAAGGATGACTGGACTGACTGCTCTCACTGGGGTCCTCTCTGTGAACATGGCCCTTCGCCAAGGTTTTCTCCTCCTCAGTAAGTCACAGAACCAGGGCCACCAACTGCAACTGAGCTAAAGGACTTCCTTGCCCACTTACTTTGTGCTGCGCTTCAGCTTCTGTCCTTAACTTACGTGCTTACAAACATCTTTGACGCCCTTATTCTTTATTACTTGACATCGTCACTAGTTCAGGCCTTTAGACAAAATGCAGAGTAGGTCTATGAGGTTCCATGAATGAACTTCTCGTGTGAGCTGGATTTAGGAAGCAACACTGAGCAGTTGAATGGATGAGGACATAAGAGAGGCAGGCTCAGGTTAATGCTTTGTCCTTCAGTTATGCCATGTGGCCTTGGAACCGTGAATCAATCTCCCTGCACCTTGGCTTCATCTTCTGAATGTTCTTCAAGGTGCTGGTGAGGATGAACAGCAATGTGCTCAGCACTGCATGTGACACATCCTTGGGGCCAGGGGAAGTTGGGCCCCTTGCTTCCAGCACTTCTAGAACGGCAGAACTCCATTCAGATGGAGAATGCTGTTCCAAGTAGTATGCCTCTCTTGAGGCAACCAATGATGAAACTACTCACTCCCTTGTGCCAAGTTAAAGAGACTCACTTGGGCAAGAGACTGTCCTGTAAACTGGGTGGCAATGATCAACTCTGTTCTTCAATAGCACAGAATGGGCCGTGAGAATGAATGAGATCACATTACATCGAACCACATGAAATCACCTTTTTGAACATCAGTGTGGTCCAATAGCCAGTTTCATGCTTCAGCCTCATAGTTCCCTAGGCCTTTTAATCTAATAGTGAACGGTCACTAGTCAATGTCCTTTACAAACTTCCACAGGAGAGGATGTACAGCAGCTCTCTGGCCAGCAGCAAAGGCTTGGATAAGATGAGGCAATGAGTATAAAAGTGCTTTACAGACCATGAACACTAGGTCACTGCAAAGCCTTTTTTGAATTAATTGTGAATATGTGATACTTCAACTGAGGAGTTCTGAAACTTTTTAGAAATTTAGATAAATTCCACCGAATTTATGTCAACTTTCACATGAGAAAAGCTTGTTCTCAGTGTGTGATCTGTTGACTGCTGGAGTTAACGCTTAGCCCTCACCTAAAAATGGGTGTCTTTGAAGGCCAAAATCATGGTAAGAGATTGCTTGATATGATGACTGTGTTTGTGTTGGGCCTGTGGGGCGGGGGTTGGTTGTTGAGGTGGGGGCTGAGAGAAATGACCATCTAGATTCAGAATGAAGTAGAGTTTGTTAGGGCTTGGTTTCATTGACTAGCTCACACAAAGTTTGGTCCCAGGGGAGTGACTAATTCCTTTGTTTTCATCTGTTAATCCATTTTATGAAAATTCAGTCAAATATTAGACAAATATGCCAAATGTGCTTCATTCTGCCCAACAACTCAGGGTTAATTCTAAACTACTCTGTGATGACATCTTCTTCCTGGTGTGCGTGTGAAGGTCACAAATGGCAAGAAAGTTTGTACCACCCCATCTAATCACAACACAGTTTGTACAATTATACCACTCTAATACAGTCAGGTCACCAGGATCATTGTTTCTATCTGGCTCCTGGGAAAAATGATTCAGCTACCTTGATTTAGCAGTCCATAGATTGAGGATGTCATTCTTGTAGTCCCCAAACAAAGCTAATCACTATTATCAAAAGCTACTTGGCACATGAATAGACTCCAAAAGCAATAACTGGCTGCCACTTTGGGCACAAATGAAGACTTTTAACTTAAGTGGGCCCTGTGAATAAGTTCATTTATATCTATTCAACGTATATTTTCATAACAAGCTGAACTTGGTTTGCATGAAGGAGTCTCTAAACTGTTTATTTATTCAAGGTTTCTCCATCCTTCTGGAGGAAACCAAACTGTGAAGCAAAGCAGGGAAATCCAGGGCTTGTTAATGAGGCAGAAGATCAGGTTCAGTGCGGGAGTGTGAGGGCCGCTAGAAGAAGAGGATTTGGCCATCCACATTTATGGGGAATCATCATGTCAATGACAAGGAGGGGCCTCGTCTGCACAGGGCAGGGAGGACCATCTTGCTCTGGAAAATCCCTGCCTGCAGCAGCCTTTGGTGGGAAGATTGCCTTGTTTATTGCTTAATCTATCACTGGTGAGCTGCCTGCCTCGGGGAGGCTCAATTTAAGATAGATTGAAAGGTAGTGTCTGTCAATTGAATAAACACAGATGGTTTTCCACGGCCAAAATTGATCTTTTTTTCCTCCTTACCAAAGACATAGTGCCAAACGTGATTATCTTTGGAAGCCAGGCGTGAAATGCCTTAGCTCCAACCCCTGCCGCCATGCTTAACCCTGACACAGACGTGATATCACATGGGGGCTTGGGTGTCTCACACTGTGATTTTAGGTTCTGGAGGGAAAATAAAAATTTGACTTCTCTAGAGAAGGGCCTGGCTAAGTTCATTCCACTGAGAAGGTTAGGGTCAATCAGTTGATTCACAAAATAAGGTGACCAGTCCTAAATGTCGCTGGCTGGCAAAGACCTCCTTCAAACTTTTCATTCAAGAGTCTCAAAGAGGTGATAAGATTTGCCTAAGGACACATAGCTAGAGCTAGATATCAATCTTCTGTTTATTCAGAAGCTAGAAAGGAGGCCAGAGTCTATGCCTATGATATTAACTGGAGGCATTAAGATAAGTCCTACTCCCAAAACATCTTTGGATGCAGGTAGATCAGAGATGCTTGAACAAGGCATGCTAGGAAGTCAGACACTTTAGCAACTAACTAGGTATGGAGTCACTTACACTCAAGAGTTTTGAAGAAAGCTAAGGGTAAAACTGTGAGCAGCAGTTCAAGATAACAGGTGCATGGAGGGTGAAGAACTGTGAACAGGAAGAGTACTCTTTGCACAATGAGGAGATCGAGTAATGTGTTTTCTACTGTCTCTTTCAGCTCTAATTACAAAATACAACAAGCTAATGGGACGTCATTCATACAAATTATTTCAAGCGATGGAATTGTCTATCTCCTTCCACTCCACTAATGTGAACATGAGTGTAGAATGGCAGTTGAAGGATTTCTCAAGAGGAGTTGTTGCAAAGGTGGCAGAGGTGGGACAAATGCGGGGAGGTGGTTATATAAATGCTTTAGAGACAAACCTAGAGATGATAGGACTCAGAGGATCTTAGCAATAGGTGGAACTGTCTTCTCATTCTAGAGATTTTAAAAAATGATACTCATATCTATATATATACACATACATATATATGACTAGAGACAGAGCTGGGACATCAAGCTAAAAATCTTGGTTCTTTCAGTTACACTACCTGTCTTCTTTTCAAACGGCCCCATGTAATATGGAGTGCCAGGAAAGCAGGTGTGTACACTATATAAGTGCATGTGGCAAACAGAAGTGCAGAGGTTCATTCCAGCTAACACAATTATAAGTACAGATCTTGACAACAGTCTTGGTCCCAACTCCTAAAGCTGAAACAAAAATCTTATGAAATATGCCATGTGGAAAAGAGAGCTGGCTCTTCTATCTCACCTGGATAGAGAAAAATGGAACTAAAACTGTCTTAGTGTGTGAGGGCTACACATGAGGTCACATTTGCAGAATTTGGATTTATCTGAACGTGGGTTAACACATTTGCAACCTAGCAGAATTGGCCTATCCTTGAGTAAAGAAAAACTTGATTCAGGGTTTCTAAAGTAAGAGAGTCAAATCCTTTTACTCAGTTGGAAAACAAAAGAGATTTGAATCCAGTATTTTCCTGTACATGGGCTGTTTTATAAATACTCTTCATAAGTAGAAACTTAATGTATATATATCTGTCTTTCAGTCAGTTCTTAAACCTGAGACCCCTACAACTTTCTCACACATACTGAGACTGAAACATATATTACTGACATTGAATTCATTTCCTGCCACAGACTTTACCTAAAGCAGACATTAAATGTAAACATGTTTCTATTTCCACTTCAATATGATCCCTTTCTTCTCACATTCTTCAGCGTAGCAGACAAGGACAGCCAAATAGACGTCAATACAGTTGGCTGAAAACCTATATGCCTAAAATAAATACTTAACTTAATGCATCTTTATAAATTTTTGATGAATAAATAACATAATCAATCCCTCCCACCCCCCAGCCAAAGGATTTCTCTAATATGGTAGAATGGCACCATGGATGATTATAACTGGGTAATAGCAAAAAGGACCTGTGTTGAGTTAGAACTGTCACTCCACAGGCACATGTGCATCTTGATATATGTGTCAGCGTGTTTGGTTGTGTTTTTGCCTTAAAATGATGTGGTGAATGTTTTTCCTATGTCCTCAGCTATGTCTTTTAAAAACAATAGAAACTCGGGGATTTGTTTGAAATTGGCTTCCAGTGTTATCAATTTGGGGACTGTCCTTTATACATTGGACTCTCCGAGGGTTGGCTTTTCACATTACAAGTGTAAAAATAAGTTCCTTGGTTTGTGATTATAAATATTCCTGAAAAATGACTCAAATCACATTCATAAAGCACTAGCTTCTGCTTAAAGAAATGACAAGGGGAAGTTTTTCAGAAAGCAGTCCATGTACAATTTCTCTGCTATATAAATCTGCTTGTTCATGTAGTTTCCATGACTTAGTTGAGCACATCTGTATCTCAGGGTTTAATGCTTAAAATAAAGATTTCCTATTTGTTCCCTTTTCTTAAAAAGGGAAAGTTTGTTTTACCTCCGAAGCAGCGTCCACAAGTTGAAATGGAAAATGCAAGCCGTGATAGGCCTTCCAAGTGACCCATTTGGGCCTCTCCCCTACCCACCCAGATCACTCACAAGCCTGCCAAAGGGTCTTCGGAGGGTACAGAAACAACCAGTGACGCGAGGGTTCCTCACCAGCCATAAAGCAAAACCAGGAGGGCAGGGTCAAGGGTGAGTCTAGACGTACCCCTCGTGACAGATGTTTCCATTGATGAGGCTGAAGGTGGCGGCGGAGGGGTTGGTGCTCTTGAAGGAGGTCATGCAGCTGGTACTTCTGCCGGCGCTGTGAGACCGGCTCATCAGGCCAGACCGGCAACAGAGGAGCTGGGTGTTGAACTGCTTCCGAAAGCTCTTGCTCAGCAGGTAGAGGGCAAAAGGGTTCACGCAGGAGTTGGTGAAGGCCAGAAGGCGGGCGCAGATGCTGGTGATGAAGTGGAGCAGGGAGGTGTCCACCTCGGAGTAGTGGTAGGAGCGGTAGAGGTAGATGACGTGGTTGGGGAGCCAGCAGAAGGCGAAGAGACCCACGAACACCAGCACCGTCTTGGCCAGGCGCTTCCGGGATTCGATCTGAGGACAGAGTCACACAGAGGGGCCGAGGGGCGGGGGACGCAGAGACAAAGGTGTGGGCAGAGAAGAAGAGGCGGGAGTGAATTAGGGAAGTGCATGAGCTCACAAGGCCCAGCAGATGAGTTCCACAGGAGGGAAGATGAGGGAAACAGAGGAGAGAAAAGCAACAGAAACAGACAGAAAAAGAAAACAGTCAGACACAGAAAGGAAAATGCCAGGAAGCAGAAATGGATGAGCAGAGTACAGTGAGAGCAGCTCTTGAAACAAAGTTGATTACACGCTTGAGTGGGCGGCACAATGAAATTCTAGTAAGCGCCCTCTTTTTCCTTGGGAGGGCATTGGTGCAGTTATCAGCCATATGACTTCATGTCTTCCTTGGCTCCACAGTTAATAATTTCTTCTTCCCTCTGATGCTTAAACAAGGACCCAACTTTGTTCTTCCCCATTGGCCAGACTAAGATAACTGCCTGTTACCATTTTTTTTTTTAAATCTCAAGTTATTTCTAGCCTATATAACATAGGAAGAGTCTCAAACAAAGTGGGCTGAGCATCTCCTTTTGTTCCCAACTCACTTTGCTACGGCAAGAGGAAACATCATTCTCCTTCAAGAATTGGGGATACAAAATGTTCTCCACTGAGAACTCCTTCAAGCAGGGGGAGCCTTTCACTGAGGACTGCTGCTTTCCCCCCATAATTGAGTGGGAAAAAGAGAATTTTAGAGGTGAAGCCTCCAACTAAGTCGGCTACACATTTTAAATGAGGGGAGAGTCTTTCTGTCTTTCCATCATAAATACCGCTTGATCTACATTTGGACTAGAAGGCAAAAATTGCCACAGAGGAGAGAGCCAGAGTCCCTGGTTTCTACCATTTATGCCTCAGGATGAGATTATGGGGGTGATGGGGGGACTGGGGAAGGCAGGCTAACACAGACGGAGGGCATCCTGCATTCTGGACCACCTGGGGGTAGATATGCTCCTCTTGTCATCCTCCAACAGCCTTCTAATATAAGGGTTACTACCCTCCTCATGGGTAAGAAATTCAGAGAGGGTAAATGAGTAGGTCAGGAAGCCTGGATTTGAACTCAAATCAATGTGAACCCATCTTAATCAAACGACTTCTTTTTCTTCAACCAGCCTCATTTTCCAGCCCTTTCTGCCTTATCACATATGGTGACCCTCTTCCTACCCAAAGAATGTGACTGGAGTTTAAAGCAGTTGCATCCCTCTGAGACACGACATTTTATCTTTTAAAAAACACTAACATGTTTTTCAGATTTTTCCCAGAAACAACCCATACTCCAAAGCTTTCAGGTTCTCAGCACCTCACTAAACCTAGCCTTAAGTAAAAGAACAAGATTCTAAGGGACATCTGAATGCTGAGTCTTCTGCAGCTAGGAATCTCTGTTCACCATCTGGCCACAGATCACTCACCTCTTCTACTGCAGAATCAGGCAGCGCGACCCCCTAAATACGGAACTTGTCAGTGGAGCCCTACATATATGCAAGGGATCGAATCCCCAAGGAGGAAATGAATTACTCCTAAGCACCCACCTGCTTCTTGACATGTATATTCCCTTCCACGGGGAGATTGTAGGCGCTCTGGATCAGATTTCTGGCGATGAAATAGTAGTAAACAGAGATGATCGACAGCGGGATGATGTAGAAGACCAGGAAGGAAGCCATGGAGTGGATTTTGGGGTGCAGCTCATTAGAGTGTGGGTACGGGGCACAGCTAATGAAGGTCTGGTTGGTGCTTTCCTCATGGAAAGGATGTAGGTCAGAAAACACGGCCTCTGGGATGGCCAGCAGCATGGAGACGATCCAGATCAGTGCGGCTTTGAGGCAGATTTTCAGCAGGGCATGGGAGGCCTGGATATCCATCGGCCGCACGATGGCTTTGTACCTGGGGCAGGAAAGAGGGAAGTTGCTTAAGGAAAGTCATCCAAGGGCCGACTCTGAACTCATAGTCAGCGCCTCCTTAAATGCTGCCCCCAAGCTCGTTGCTCACCTCATCCTAGCCCGGCTCTGAAGGATGTCCCCCTTTCCCCATTCTCTCTTGATTTTAAGAATACTTCTCAGAAAAGCTGAAGCTTCTTTCATTTTCTTAAATCACAGAAATGAATAACAAAGCATGTTTAACAAAGGACACTGGAACAAGAAGGCTGGTTTTTTTACTTTGTTTTTTTGGCAAAGCCTTCATTTTGAGTATTCAAATGCAGTTTAGGGAAACTTTAGTCACTGAGTATTTACAGACACCTCTTTTCTTTCTCAAAGGTTGAAGAACAAATAGTTCGCTGAAAAAGTTACACACAGATGCATCGCTGTAATTATCAAACTAATCTTTCCCCTGCCCTCCTACTCTCTTTCGGCGTCATCTTCTCTTGCAGTATTCAGGTTGAGCTCTGGGAAGCAGACACTGAGATGAAGTCAGGAGGACAAAGAGTTTATTGTTGATGAAGATGTGTGGGGAAAGGGGAGGAGGCAGGACTGGGCAGAGGGAGCTGTCAGACCCTGAGGCAGACCTTACAAGGTGTACACCAGCCAAGGTGACCAACCATCCAAGTTTCCCTGGACATTTCCCAGTTTTAGCACCGGAAGTCCTACATCTTGGCAAATTTCTCAGTCCCAGTAACTGTGACAGCTGGTCACCCTGCACCAGCCCAATGGGAAGCTCAGGAGCAAAGATTGCCCAGTGGGGGAGTCCTATCAGTGGAAATGGCCAAGCCCTTGTAGCACCACCTTTCTTGGTTACTGGCTGGGACCACACAAAAAGAGGGTGATCTCAATTGCTACCTGGTTCTGTCACTGGGCAGGAACTGCCCAAGAAGAGCATGACCATAGCTTGAAAGTTGAAGTGGACCCGGAAGAGCTGACATCTGGAGGTTGCCAGCTACCCATACAACACCTACCACAGTGAGCCACACATTTATTTTGGGCCCACTTGCCTGAGAACCCACTAAAAGATGAGCCTCTGGTGGGCAAAGACTGGGTCTTTATCTATCTTGGTATCTGTCAAGATCTGCACACAGTGTACAAACATTTGTTCTACTGCACATGAGCTGCTATAGTGTAGAAGTTGACATGAGTTGGAACCATCTAAATGTGTGTCCAATGCTAAAAATGCTGTGTTGACACGAGGTTCTGCCTCTGATATTCTTTTGTATCATGGCCTTCAGTGAAGAGGTATAGTTATTTCCACTTGTTTCCAAGTTGACTAAACCTCCACTGAGTTAGCATTCTTGGCTGCATCCTGACCCCTCACTCACTTTCTGCTTCTCTCCAGGGAAGGGGGTGTGAGTTTTGAGTGGTGAGTTTGAGAAAAAGAACCTGGCATGTGCATTGGACTCACAGAGGCCAGTGCTTATCTAGGTGTCCCTGACTAGGTGAATGGCACCTCTAATATAGGCAATCAGAGTGTCTGCAAGTCCATTATTGCTGTGGACCTAGGTCATAGTCTCCAAACAGCTTTATCAGATGTAGAAGCAATTATTTTTTAATCATCATCTGTCTCATTTTATATCTAGTTCTCTGTTCCCACTTCAGGTAGGGAAGAAAAGGAGACTATTTATCAGATATCCCCAACACTCCAGAACAACACTATTGTCCTGCTTTAGTATACCTGCGTGTGATTTTCCATCCATAATTTGCATTAGTGCACTTAAAACAATTTAAAAAAAATAAACATTTCAAAAGGAGGTTCTATTGTCCTGTGGTGCTTTCTCTAGTCGCTAATAATTTCAAACATTTTAATTTCTAGTTTAGAATGAAGGAAAGGAATAGATATTTTTAATGAAAGATATGTGAACATCCTCAGCCAAAGATATATATAATTAAAGATATCTTAGATAAATCAATCAGAGATAAATGGGCAGTCACAAGTACCATTAACTCTCCAAGGGAAGGTGATCTCCTCATGTATGAAGCAGAAAGAAGCCAGAGGGAATGGCTTCCCCTCCTTCCCTCTTGGGAATCTTGCATTCCTAAGTGCAAAATGCCATGAGATATTGAGCCACTATTTCAAATTCACAACTTTTAAAACATGTAAGATAGTATGAAACATTTCTCTGATTGCTTTGTCAGAAAAATAATTTGAGTCTAAATCTAAATTAGCCTCTGGATCTATGTACCAGTTTTCAAGAAATGTGGGGATAGAAGAACTAGCTAGATAATGCAGTCAGTCAAATCCTGAAACAGAAAATTCTACAGGAATAATGACCCCATTTTTTACAACAAATATATGGTATAAAAAACCAGAGAGAATGGTTACAGACTGACTGATATCAGTAGCGCAATGTGTAGACCCATTTTGCATTATTTAAAATTTTGTTTATTTTTTGGCCATGCTGTGCAGCATGCAGGATCTTAGTTCCCTGACCAGGGATCGAACCCAGGCCCCTGGCAATGAGAATGAGAAGTCCTAACTACTGGGCAATCAGGGAAATCCCTTCTTTTGGATTCTGATCCAAAGCAAACAACCATAAAAAGACTTTTTTGAGACTACTGAAGAAAATCAAATATGGATTTAGTACTGGTGATATCAAGGAATTATTTTTAATGTAATGGGCTTAATAGTGGTATTGTGATTCTGTGTTTTAAAAAATACTTTATTAAAAATACATCCTAAAATATTTACCAGTGAAATAATATCTATCTAGGGTTTGCTTTAAAATATTCAGATATATTCATGTATCATTTGTATAATTTAAAAATAAGTAAAAATGCATTGCAAACAATTTCATTATGGAATATTAATAACAGTTCAAAGAAATTAAGGAAATTCCATTCACTAAGCTCTTGCCTTCTGTCAGGCAGAGACTAGCATCTACGTGATCTCACTTATGTTTTAACATGTAGGTGCTATTAGCCCCACTCTACAGTGACAAGCTGAATGAAATGCAGGTGGTTTCAGAAGTAGTGAGGTCAATATTCAATGTAAACCAAGTCTGTTCAGGATACTATACCTTTTTCAGAAGAATGCTCTGGGTAAATTCTTCCTAGAGATAAACAGATCAGCCATTTCACAAATGTGTATGGAACATACCAAATGTTCCCTGGAAGTCTAATGGTTCTGTAGAGCATGATAGATATATCAGTCTATATCTTCTGGTTTAAACTGCTTTGCCTGGAGCTCCCAGTGAAGGGAGATCCCCAAGGGGTGGTTCTCGTTTAGGAGTGATGGCCGGTTGGACTAGGGTGGATACTCAATATTGTAAACCAGCCAATAAACTGCCTGGCCAACTACCAGAGACTCTCTCTTTGTCTTAAGCATTTAAACTGAAAAATTGAGAGGATGTAATCAGTCAATCATAGATGCTACAAAGAAAAGGTTATGATGTCAAGGAAGCAATCAGGGCAAGATGAATAACCAAAGTAGGTAGAATGAAAGAAAGAGAATGAGGCAGACATAAAAGAAGAAGCTGAGATGATGTGGCCCTAAGTCCTACAGAGGGTCCTTGGTTCCTGGCCCATGAACTACTTTTGAATGTACGAGAGGTGTCCTGGTATAATCTTACAATTCTCCTGTTCTCTTTTCATTTGAGTTGGTTTAAGTGGCCACCATTCACTATCAACAAAAGAGCCTTATCTAGAACAATTAGACATGCTGGTCATTTAAAGCTATCATCAGATTTTATTTCCAGGATCATTTTGCATAAGTTATCCCCTGCTTGCTGTCCTCTGAAAGAAGGAGCTGTCAACTTTCGATTGTTCTCAAGATACAGACCAGTTCCTAAATCCACCATAATTTTCTTGCCTCCTCCTTTCTTCATGCTCCATCCCGGAGACTCCATTCATCTTAAGGCGATCTTTTCAAATTCCAGCTTATAAGTACCATCTTACAGCTTTTGCTGACCAATCGAAACATCAATAATTCCCTTTCCTTCTCCCAACCTGTCTGATTTTACTCTTCTCATTTTATGCTTCCTCTGCATTACTTTCAATTGCTTCTAGCTTTCCATGGGCATGTCTTTTCTACATGATTTTCTCATAAGTTCCTGAGGTCAAAAGCTCATATCTTCTCCCCTTCTTGTCTTCTGTATCATTGAAAATGCCCCAGGTCCCCTCTTCTGCATACCACTTATTTCAAAGTAGAGGCTCAGCAAAGACTTGCTAATCAATTAAGATTAATGATAGGGGACTCACAGATGTGTCTTTTATTTTCAACTTCACATAAATAAGTGACAACAGATTCACTTTCACACACCTAGTAAGAATCATTTTTCCACAGACTGACCGATTCACTCCTCTGATAAGAGGGGGCTGAAAACAACTGCTTCCCACTTCTGAAAACATCTGTGCTTCATTTTTCTTATGCAAACACTGGAAAGGTAAAAAATGTCCTCTGTGCCAGATTATTGTGTCAAAGGGGTTCTTGGCAAGTGGAAGTAGCGGGTTCCCACACCCACGGTTGGAAACTTTTGCTCACAGAAAGGTATGTCTTTTATTCAAACACGGGCAGTTTATTTATGTTTAAGGATCCAGCAGTTCAGCCCTTATGTATTCATAATTACCTACCGAGGTCTGCAGGAATTGTTGAACAACAATATTTTAAAACCTCCATTACAATCCTAATGCATGCTACCTGGAGAGGGCTGAGGTGAAGAGAAAACGAAATGAACTAAAAGGTCTCTAGGGTAACTGACACATTGTCGGCATTTAAATTAGAATCCTAATACCTAATAAGATTTGACAAGGCTATTAAACTTTGGCTTTATTTTCTCCTGAGAATAACACCAAGAACTTTTCTGAAGAAATGTGAGGCAATTATTAGCTGGTTTGTAAAATGACTATAATCCAGAGCAATGGAGTCTTACCTCCGTTGAACTATTACTCTGCAAATGCAGAGCTTGCTGCTCCTTGGTGCCCATCCAACCTTTATCTTAAGTATGTAACAGATTACAGTCA